AACTGACCGACACAGATTACGCTGATTAGAGGGAATATATATTATGCTGTCTTGCTTATTTGGATTTTCTCGCCAAAATACTCGGAGGAAGCTGATGCTTTGAGCAACAAAAGACTGGGGGGCGGGTGGGTGCAGTGCCGGCGTTGAGATGATGACGGTGAATTGGGCTTTGGCTATATCTCTCTTGGGCTTATTGGTGACTTCGTGGTATTACGTGAACATGCTGACGTTAACGCAGCAGCTGCAGCAGGCAAACACGTTGAACGCGATGCATGCAGAGTACTCGTCGTCAAAGACATTAGAAGCCTTAGAAATCCTCGAGGAGTTTATCGATGAACGCGGTGTTGTGAACTATGCGTTCGACTTTTTAGAATTGAGGAGGAAAAGGGATGCAAAGGGTCGAGCCATAGACCGCGCACGCCGCCATCTGACGCAATGGTTTTCTCGTGTTCAATATTTCTATGAATTCGGATATTTGAAACACGAATACATCTTGCGTTTCCCGGGCCCTGAGCGGAGCCGCCACTTCCTACACTTAATTGAGCCCTTAGAGTTCATTAGCCGAAGAGCGACTGGCAGAAAGCATTCCGGTGTATTCGACTTCCTCAGGGAAGTCTATCAAATGCCTCATGTCCGCCTGTCCGACGAATTCAGACAGACCGTTGAACAGATGCTACCAGTTCAAGGAGAAGACCAAACATCAGAGGCTATACTCGACGACGTAGGCGATGACCCACTTACGGATACAGATGACAGAAAAAGAGAGGAAATGTAACATGCTGTTTTATCTGCCGCTGCTGCAGCTGCAGCAAAGAGCTCGTAAAACCCTCATCAGTTGCTGCAAGAGCTGGTGTAACTCCATCACCAGCCACGGTAGCAGCTGCTGCTCCAAGTGGGGAGGCTACCGTATCTGCGCCAGAAGCGTCTCCTGGAGCCGACGCAGGCGCTCTGCCCACAGGGGGCTGTCCCGTGGTCTTCCGCTGCTTGTTTGTTCATTAGGTGTAAGGGCTTGCAAAGAAGCACCAACTGCTGCTACTGACCCTTTTTAGTTTTGACTTGTCGGTTCCAGTTGTCTACATAAAAACAGGCCGGGGAGGGTTGTACAGTTCAAGTTAGCACATGCGTGTTGCACACATGCATGCATGCTGGCTTCCTGGCGGAAGCCGCGACACGCATAGTTCACCTCCCAGTCTTATCATCACTCCACCCTAATGCACGTAGTGCATGTAGTGCTGCCCCGCTCGTGCACCAAACAACACAGATTGGCGACAGACAAGTCAAAGCATGGAAATGCCCACGAGCCGCAAGTTGAATAGCTCATTGCAAGCAGCAGCAGCAACAAATCTCCTCCGTCATCTGCGATGCGAGAAAGATACGTTAGTAGTTAGCGGGGAACCCGCGGAGAGACAGGCGCCCTTCTACACGTACATATGAACCTGGGGAACTTCAGATGGCCCTAGTACGCACGTATTCATGTACAACGTGTACGTGAATGCGGTAGAAGCCCGAAAGTGCTGTGGTAGGCTGGGGCGGGTATATATAAAGACAAGGCTCTTCCTAATCAGCTGCTCAACAGAAGCTTCACAAACTCGGCATATTTAATCCTCCCTGTTTTGCTTGGGTCCGCGTCATGAACCATACGCTCCACCTCTTCGTCAGTCAGCATATCTCCTAATGTCTTTATGACCTGAAACGCAAGAACAAACGGTACAAAAAGCGCGAACTGTGATAGCACGAATGGCACTACACCAGATAAATGTAGTACGATTAAAGCTAACAACAGATGCCTCTACAGGTGGTGTAGTATACGGCTTCCCCAGTAACTATTAAGAAAAGCCCTGGAGAAACGCATGTTGCATTGCTTGTTTCAACTACTCTCAGTCGCGTCTACCTACATATTTATATATAATGTGCATGTATAGGGAAATAGACAGACAGATCTATGGAAAAGCATATACATGAAGTAGATGCGTGCACGCTGTCTTCTTGTGCTTGCTTACTTGCATGAGTTCGTCCGTCGAGAGAGTGCCATCTCCTTTTGTGTCAAATACTTTGAAGGACTTGATCAAGTCCGCTTCTGGGTTGCTGTTGCTAAGTTTCTTGTTGACCCAACTCTCAAACTGCTCCCAGTTCATGGTCTGCAGCAACAAACCACAGCAACCGAGCATCAAGGGGTCCCTGCTGTGGNGTGGCTGTTCTCCTGATCCTCCCAACAATCTTCCCTGCCAGTATTTATGCAGAACTATGTTTACGCAAACAGCGCAATGCTACTCTACGGGATCCTCATCCCACTGACTTACAGCCGGGAGGCTGCTGGCCTCCTCGGCAGGCACAATAACGCCTGTAGAGCGGATAGCCAGTAGCGCCTCGCTCGCTGTGAGTTCTCCGTCCCCATCTCTGTCAAAGAGAGCAAAAGCTTCCCGGATGCGTGGATTTGAACTCATTTCCTTAATGTTCAAGTTTGGCGGATCCTACGGCAGCAATTGCGCAGTTCAGACCGGAAACAGGGTGGCCTATTGTGCTTCAGAGATACAACAGCATCTAAATCACTTCAATACGAAGATACGAACCAACAAAGAAGCGTTTCAAAATCGTGAAAGGCAACAGACGATCTCCAGCCGCACATAGGTGTAAATGCGTCACACACACGAAAGTGAAAATAAGGCCAACAGATACGAGATTTTGGCGTTCCGCACAACATCACAATCATATTTTGAAGTACAGCTAGGGAAAATGATCTATTGTTCGGGCGAAAATCCAGCACAAACTGTGGAGCGCCGACAGCAATGACCGGTACGCGCGAGCATCAGACCACTGTGCATTGGCATCGAAATGCTTTCCGGACTCACTAGGGAGAGAAGCAGAGAAATATTGTTTCGGAGATGAAGAAAAAAAAGAACAGAAGCGCGGAGTGCGAATTGCAGGTGAATTTGTCACTCAATGAAGACTGTTAAATGATACAGGACGGCTCGCCGGACCCCGGGCTGGGCTGGGCCTGTAGTGCGTGAGCAGTACAATGTATTCGGTGTTTTAGCTCCGTTAGAGGGACTAGTATAATAAGTGGTCAGTTATCCAAATATTGAGTTTTGTAATATATTCTTGTGCAGAGACGGTATTCCGTTAGAGT